CGGCTAAGGTTTTACTGAAAATGTAAGGCTCCATAAAACAACATATTCATCGTGTTAAGACATTAAATGTATTTAAAAAAACGATATGTGTTACAAAGGAACCTAAAGAGAGCCATTTCTTTCGATATATTACGATAAAAAGAAAATTCAAGACGTCCATTTTGGTAAAGTTAAAGCCTCTCTTAATAAGAGAAAATTAAATACAGGTGAAAATAATTCTAAATGTTTTTGTAGTTTTTTATGTTTCATATTTTCAATTTCTAAGGTTAAAGTCTAGTCAACAGAGGGCTTTCATAAATCAAATATACTTCTGAAAATTTCATAAATATTTGATATGCAGATAACGTTTCGTTTTATGTTGCATATACCAATTTTGTGACACGAGACGACGGTAACAGAATGATTTTATTTAAACCTGGCAAAATCCTCAATATTGTCAGAACTTTATTTCGTCTGTTTTAAAAAGATGTGACCAAACACTTGTCCAACGAACGATGAGGGGATTCTGTGCTTACTTCATTTTAAAGGATGAAATTTTCGGAAATAAGTTATACCTTTTTTCTTTTCTTTCTCTTCTTTCGGCTTACATTTTTTTTTCATTCCAACATCTTTATATTGTACATGGGCATAAAATATGTATCCTAACGCGCATACCACCAACTATCATTCAGCAAAGTCATTGCAAAATGCTGAGCATATAAACTAATATTGTTGAATAAACTATGCTCTGTTATAAAGGAACTGTGATTGGAATAAAAACGAATGGAATGAAGAGGTGAAAATGCGTTATTACCTGCCATTTTGGATGGAAAACGTTGATTTCCCTAATATCTACTTTTTTCTATTTATAGTTCAGTTAAAATGCACATTGCAAAACTAAATTACCTTGTAAATACACATTTAATAACCTGTTTTCCTGTGCTGGGGTATTAACACAAATATTCTAAAATCGATTACTTACCAAACAACTTATTATCTAAACATCCGAAGTGATAATGCAATTTCAATTATAGATTAACTGTTTTTTAGTAAGTCGTTTTAAAAAAAATAGTGTACTTATTTTCTTCTTATTTCTTTCATTTATAAGAATTTGTTAACGGTTCTTCATCATTGGATACTTTCTTATCTCAAAACGTTTCAAGCAACACTTTCGATATTGTTGTTACATATGTTTTAATCGCGAAAAAGGTTGAGTATATTTGAGTTTGTTGTTGAGGAATCGTTGATGAAACAGAAACAAATAGAATGAAGTGAAAAAAAAAAGTTATTCCAAATAGATTACACACCAAAGATTTACCTATCTAAAGAAATAATTAAATTTCAATTTAGTCGATTTAACGAAATTATTGTGTTTATTTTATTTCTTTTTTGTTTCGTTCCTTTAAAACAATATGTGCTAACTTTTCTTAGTCGTAGGGTATTTTCATATTTCAAAACGTTTTCAAGTAATATATGTGGTATTGGTGTTGCTGTACAATGTCGTAATAACACATTAACATCGGATATCTAATAATTTACACAAACAAATAAAACAATTAAAACAAAAATGCCATGGTTTTACCAATTAACCGATTTAAGACATTTGCAACTGATTTTTTAGAGTAGTTCTTATATTGAAAAACCAATGTCCGGGTTTATGGGATTGGCGCTCATCAATGTTTAATTCCCGACACTCTTGTCAGGCACGTACTTGTCTCTAATCAAAAACTTATAGTTCAGAAGTTCATGTCGGTTCTTTCCTGTGATTTGTATAAATCATCCCGTACGTTTTCTCGTTTGATTTGCTATACATTATCCTTATGGGAGACTTTTTATAGCTGAATATCCGACATGGGTTTGTCTCGTTGTTGAAGGTCGTACGGTGACCCATAATTACTTTTGTCTTCGTCATGTGATCTCGAGTTGATTTTTTGTTTCATTGGTAATCATGCCATATCCCTTATTTTAATCTCGGCATTATTGGCATAGGTATATTTATCTTTTTAGTACATGTAAGTATAGAACAGTGAATTGGTTGGTCATATTTCGTATGATACGATTTTGATACACCTACTAAGGTGTTAAATGTTCATAAATGCATAGATAATATCAAGACGTATAGACTGGTAAAACGCACAGTTTTTAGATTTGTAGATTAAATTTAAACATGTAAACTATGTAGTTTTGAGATAAATAGAAATATGATAGAAAATATTTAGAGATATAACTATGAAATTCAATGTTAAAAATGTTAAAAACACCGATGTATTTTGTTAGAATACGTAAGTTATTTAATACTTTTTATAAAGTAGCACTGTTTTTTTTATTCTGTTAATTGGATATTCGTGCAAAAGTTTTGATTTATAACTCATCTAAATTAATAGACGTTACCGGTATCAGTTCATTAAGACTTGTTTTTTTCATGATTTTTACCCGTTTTGATAGCATCCAATGTTTGCTGATTTAGTTTGTCATTTCTGATCATATCAGAAGTGACGCCTTGACAATAAATTAAAGATAATCACTTAAAAGTCAAACAGGAAAGACAAGAATTTGTTAAACATACTTGCAGAGCTACATCTTTAATTAATTTGATAAATAAAACTAAGCGCGATGGATAAATTCAAATGCTCCGATAAAAAAGTGATTTAATATTTGTATGTGCGAATTGCACTCCCAAAGCTAGTCAAAATGATTTCAAAGATTATATTGGTGTAGGAGAATTTGCCAATAGATTTTAATATTGAGTGATTGAATATTTGTTGTGCCACTTGTAACGTGTATGTAACGTGTATGGTGTTATAATATAACCAACTGTAGAACATCTCGACTATTTACTGTATTTTTATGTTTTGGATTCATTCTAATTCCTCTTCCAACATTGATATACTGTGAAAAAATAAAATCAACTTGAAAAGTATCGTTCCTTCAAAGAATATAATTATTTATAATCTTTTCGAACATATAAACTGTCTCAAAGTCAGGAAATGTGTTTAATCAACCAAAATAGATACCTTAAGCACCACTTTCAAAGTTATACAAATAAACGTGTAAGAAAAGGCAATCGATTCTGGAGCTGATATTAAATAGCAATACTACTAAAGGCTAAAGTAGGTACCATCCAAAAAAGCCCAGATAATCATTCATTATAAATAACTTGTCTGGGTGTGTTTGATACTACTGAGATATTTTAAACAGTTACATAATTAAAATGTAATTCACGATACAGATACGAGGAGCATTTTACAAATATACTAATATTATCCTCATTAACATGCATTGTTTCATACATTTGTTCATAGCAGTGATCGATTAAGTTTGAGATCGTTGTTCTGCTTTCATTGTTATTTTGTTGAACGACAACAAAGAAAATCCGCAAAATGATCAAAATATGTGAATAAAAAACCTACTGCAATAAAATCACATCCGATTCAGATTTTTTAGTCCACATATATTTGTTTAAAATGTTAGGTATTTGAAAGGTATTTAAAATATGCTTTTCATGTAGGGCCTTTTGAAGCTTTATATGCAGCATGGCTGTTGCTCCTCGTTGAAAGCCATACTGTGGCAAATAGTTGCACACATTTACATCACTTGGTCTCTGGTTGAAAGTTGGCAATCAAACTACAACTCCTTATCTAGAATAGAGAAATATTTAGCTTTTGATTCTAAGAAAAAAAACTTGAGAATTTGTGTTCTTGACAATTGAAAAAAATTAAAAGAAAGAAAAAAAAGCTTGTTTTTGTCTTTCTATGCCGGTGAATGAAGACAACAGTAATATACCTCTGTTTAAAAGTCACAAATGGATAAAATGAAAACAAACCTAGTCACAAACCAAAACCATGTGAAACACATCAACTTTATTTGATTAAATCACAAGTCTTGGATAAAAGTAATTCTTTTATAAATATGATTAATAGAAGATATTTCCATTTCCTCAATTACTGTTTCTCAATACAACCCTATTTAGTTTTCAAACAAAAACACTATTTTCTAAATTTTATACTAGTATCGTGATAAAGACAAAAAAACAATTCACGTTTTAAACTAACATCATGCAGTTTAACCAATTATATAAGTATGAACAATTCACGTTTTAAACTAACATCATGCAGTTTAACCAATTATATAAGCGATGCATGTTAAAATGAAATTCAATTGTCGGAATTTTATTTTCATATGTTGCAAATATAACCTTATGAACAAAACAAATATAGTATACACATAAGTATGGATATCATATTAAAGGGACTTTCGCTACGAGATATGTAAATGAATATAACTTTGTTTTGTTGAATCATCAGCGGAAGTGAAATAGTGAAATATTAATTCGTTTTTAGCAGCTGTTGGCTTAGTTTTGTCAAAATACCGTTGTTTTGCTTTCCTTGAATGCACATGGGCTATCTTACATTTGGTTCGAATTTTACAATGTTTTATTTGTCATTCATTGAACTTCATTGTTGTTAACTATTGATGTACACATTTGATTTTATATATGTACCTAACCAAATATAAACAACAGCTTTCATTTTATCTTCATTTTAAAAGCTTTATACCTATTCTCAAAATAAATAATTCAAATTGATAGAACTAAATATCATATAGTGGTGGCATATCCTTAGACAACGATCAATATGATTATGACCATGACAATGAAATGTACATGTGGAAGTAATGTTGTCCTCAAAACTGAATATTAAAAAGTTGGGTCCATTGACAATGTATTAACTGAACTGATCCTTTAGAACACTGAATCATAAGGAGGATTTATGAAAATTGGAGAATTACCACAAAAACATTTCTCATCGTTTTATCTCAATATCTGTAGGCATAGCAAAAAAAATGGAATGCATAAATATCATAACTTTTCAAATTTCACGGTTCATAGTTATGTTTATGGGAAGGTGGTAAACAGTTTTCCTTGGTTTTCCCTCAATCTGTATTACTGATGGGTCCTTTTTCTAAAACATTCATTCAAGATTAAGACTAACAGGTACTAAGTATACATTAATCTGGAAAGATGACTGTTTGAGGCATTTAATATGAAATACACTTTATAGAAATGCATAAAAGGAATAATATTATCTGCTCAAAATTATCACATTCAGCGTATCAATGACAATATTTGGAATGCTTTGTTATTTTTTTGATCGGGAAATAGTTCTATAGAATATACAAAAGCTTGTATCGCTGTTTCTATATCACCTAATAAATGCACACCTATACCCAGGATGTTGTAAAATGTACTTTTCAACACGGGATTAGATATAAAATAGTTATCTTCTATAGCCAACTGTAGATCGCAGAGAGAATTCCAGCATTGCCTGCTATTTTTTAAATTATAATAACATAGAAGACGAAGGAAATGAGCGTATACTGTTGGAGGAAGAAAGTATTCTTCTAACATGTGTAATTCATCCGGTTGTAAGTTTTTGATGAACACGAAACCTAATAGCAAATATTTGCATACTTGAACACAAGCCATATTACTAAATAAGTGTAAATTGAATAGCTCATAATGAATATCTGAAAACTGCATGAATTGATGGAGTTTTTCTGGTGAACATTTTAATAGAGAATACTGCAAAATGTGAAGAGCTGTATTGTATTGTTTTCTTTTGTAGAAAAACGAAGCTAACATCAGCCATCCAGATACAGCGTCATGACGTGTGTTAAAAAGCAAAGTACTTATACTAGTAGTAAACCGTTTATAAGTAGATTTATTACTGGACATATCCTCCACTGGCAGCGATCGCCAACTTGCGCTGCATAAGCTTGACAAATAAAATGTGTACAGGTATTTGATTTTTGAACTCTTACTTGATAATACCTTGTATATCACCTTTTCCAAGACTAAACAAAAGAAAGAACCAAAAATGTCGATATTGAACGTATGTGAGTTTAATAATCTTTCAACAAACTTGGCATATGAATAACTAGTCTCCTTGCTTATATCCGATGCCAATACATTAAAATGAGAGATTTGATCCGAAAATAAGATACATTTCCAACCATAACTGTTTAGAATATACAAATTGTTCAGAAGTCTTTCCTGTGCATGTCCTTGTATCTTATTCTCAAATAAATTATTCTCGGGAATGAAATAATGCGGACAAACTTTGTATTCAACACAATATATGAGCCTTCTTAAACATCTCATGAAACAAAATATCAAGTTTTCAGGTTTCCATTTTGATGAAGGGAATTCTTCGCACATCCAAAACAAAATTGTTTTCATGAAATATGAACAAAACAATTCTTTACAATCTGTGATTAAAGCGATGACGTCTTTTAGAAGAATTTTCATAAGGGCATAACATAATAATTGTGTATGTGTAAATGAATAGATAAGTAGTTTTTCTCCAACGGAAAATGATATACGCCATTCTAATTCTTCTTGTGTAGATCCTTTCACACCTACAGGTACAAAGAGAACCCCGTGTTTTACAATGGCCTATTTAACATCGTTTCTCGGCCACGAATTATTATTTGATCGAGTTACCCATTGTGTTGCTGGCTTTATCCATGAACTACAATGAACACAGCTTGCATGGTCAAATAATCCATCTTCATCGGTTAAACATGGTCCATGTATAGTCGAAAGGATGTCGGGTGCAAATTGTTTTTTGAATAAAAGATTTGAAAAGTAGAAATCACTACCGATATTATTACAGTTTATTAAGATACTCTGGTCATTACTGTACAATAGACGTAACTTAGTGAAACCTGGCTGAGTATCTTCTAGTTCCATTGTAAAATGTATTTTTTCAGCATTTAAATAAATGTGTGTATCTTCCCTGACCTCAATCTGTTTCATTACTGCCATTACATCTAAATCACTACCTCGCATCAGTAGTCCTTCTCCGAAACTTCCACTGGTAATATATGTCCACGTCTTGTTGCTCTGCAAATTATCTCTAACATTGTTCATCAATCTCATTGTTCTTACATGTTTTTCTGTTCCAACAACCTTCTGACATAGATACTGATACAGAGCTATCGATGCATTTTGTGTTGTTGTATCTATTAAAAAAAGTAAATTAGTGTGTATGCAAAGTCTTAAAATTCATTATTTGTTCAAAATATCTGGCACAAAACCTTTGTGATACAAATACTGATACAAATTGCGCTTTTTTGTAATACCCTAACTTTTGGCCCAATTTTTTTTTAAATATAGTTTTAAACAAAGACATTCATGGCTGCATTTCCTGATCTAACAAATGTGCGTCAACATTAAATTATATGTTACGCCACAACGGTCTTGTTATGCCCATTTTCATTGCATTATCATGTGCATTTATATTAATATGGGGTGCAATTATTATTATACGATGTGCAAACACCTTTATTTGATGTGCAAATATCCTGATATGATGTACATTTTCCCATACATTATGTGGACACACCTTTGTATGATGTGGTTGTTTCATTATTTTTTTTTGCTTGTAACATTACTTGAAGTGGTCCAGTTGCTTCATTATATGATGTCAAAACGTCCTTATATGATGTGCTTTATCGTTGTTATGGTCAATAAACAGCATTACGATTAGGACGATCAATTATGTAGCGATTGTTTGGAAAACGGTTGAGATTTTAAAAGAGATAAACATTGGCACATATGTTCCGCGTTTTAAAGAAAAATCACATGCTATATTATTGATCAAAAATTGTCAATATATGATTGGAAAAGTTAAGATTTTGTTCGATAGGTCTTCAATAATAAACATACGGTTAAAGTTACGAAATTTAGGTGTATTCGACTATGTATTAAGCACCTGAGGATGTTTAACATTTTTAAATTTTCAAATGGCATTACTTTTTCTGATCTAGCAGCTCCAGTATCGTATCAGTTTCCGATGTGCTTTTTTAAAGAAATAATGGAACAGTGCAATTTAACAGAAATCAACGTTTAACATTTTTCTGATAAACATTTAAATTAATTGATACAAGAATTTCCTGACAGCTTCGAAAATATAAAAAAATCAACTTGTACCGCTAATACATTATTTCATCAATAACAGGGGCCAACCAAGGCTAGTGGTCTAAGTAGTCAAGCCACTATGCATGTCAACGTTTAGGTTATGAGTGCGAATCCAGGTAAGGGAGGTAGGTAAGCTCGATTCCAATCCTAGTTGACTAGAATTGTCAGTTTTCCTTCCGAAGGTTGGTGTTCTCCCCGGGCACTATGGCGTCTTCACCAATAGAAAACAAAACCTTGGAAGAATTTGATTTCATACATATGCACATATATAATTTATATATAAAAAAAGGGAAACGAAAATGGTAAAAATTATCAGACTGAGGGTAATGTTTTATTCCAAACTGTATATTGCCACCTTTAGCTAAATTGTGTTGTAAAGGAACCGTTGTTGGAATAGAAACCAATTGAATGAAATAAGAAAATGCGTTATTACCTGCCATTTTGGTTGTAAACTCTACCTTTATTGACTTGGTAACGGGGACTTCCCTAATACCTACTTTCGTTTCTATTTATAGTTCATGGAAAATCGATATTGCAAACATAAAATAAATTACCTTACACAACACTTCTGCTATAATTAGGTGATATACAAGACATTTAAAACCTACACTTCCTGTATAGGGATATTTAAATTCTGATTTTGAAATTAATTACAAACTATAAATATTTTACTATGTAAAGAAAATAATAAAATTCCAATTACAGATATACTTTTTTTGAATGAAAGTCTTAAAACGACATTTGTGTACTTATTTTGTTATTTACCTTTCCTTTAAAAGGAATTTACGATCAACTCTCATTGTAGGATATTTCCTTATTTCTAAAAGTTTTCAAGAAACACTTTCGATACTGTTATTTCTATATAAAAAATGTCGTTTCACACACATGCATTCATCAGAATTAAACAAAAATAAACAAATAAAAAAATGAAACAAAAATACCTTGGTTGTATCGACTTTACTGAGTTATTCCATTTTCAATTATTTTTACAGTTTCTTCTGATATTTGCTGCAACACTACTGTCGCAGGTTAGGGGGCAGTTGTGGAGGTGATTTCACTCACACAAATGTTGAATCTCGCCACATTCTTTACACGTATGCGATATTCACTAATTAGCATTCTGTTACTCGGTGGTCCCGTTGGATCATTTCTGTCTACTAAGATTTTCTAAAATTGTTTTGTATTAATAAGGCCGAATATTTTTTCGTTTGATTAGTTCACGTTTTCTTATCAGGGTATTTGATAGCCGTTTATATGGTAGGATATTTTTACAATTTTTAAATAAGTACTTATAGATATAATAGTTGCCTTTAAATTCGTCATTTGAACTCTGGGGAATATTTGTTTCATTGGCGGTTATACCACATCTCCTATTTGTAACATATGTTAGATTGGTTTTATATTTACCTTTTTGATAAGGGTTACAGAAATTAGAGCAGTGTACTGGTTGTTCATTATTGCGTGTTATACATCTTTCACGAAAATCGATTGTCTGTAGAATATCTAGATCAAGAAAACAAAATTGTTCACAATATACACACAAATTTAAAAGGAATGATACAGTTGTTAAAATTATGTACAGTTAAGTTGTCTATACATTTTTATTCATCAAATATGTAAATATAATTCTATTGCACTTTGGTTATTTATTCCAAAGTATCGAAGACCTATATGTGAATGATATTGTTATCAAATTTAATAAGGCAATAAAACATCTCTAAATTGCTTCCAGAAGATTGTTTTTCCTGTGTATGTTTATAATTGGACACAAAGCTCTTTAAGTTATGCATATGTTTTATTATAAAGAACTAAATGAGCAAGAATCAATTTGTGATTAGAAATCCTAAATTTGAAACTTAACCAATGTAGCTCTTTGAGTAAATTAACATTAAATATCAGAATTGGTCGATCTAGCGAAAACCTACCATCTCTTTTCTGCATCTTCACAATTCTATGAAGTTCATTTCCATAACAATATCACCATATGGAGCAACAAAAATCATATATAGTCAGAAACTATGCATTATAAAATACCTTTTTACTATAAATATATTAGTCTGAAGAAAATTGCAAAACCGAAAATTATGCTTTGATGTACTTGTTAAATTAAGAATGTGCAAACTTATTTTTGTAAGTACATATACTTGTTATCATATTATCTTATATGAATATATTTAGTGTATGACCTTCCAAAAGTTCTTGATTGATTTGTTCAGATCAACAATCACAAACAAGTTTCTGTTTGCTAACAACAACCATGACAGCCCTATTTCGCTTTTCAAACATAAGATAGAAGAACTCTACCAGGAATTTATGTTTTTGTCTTGGATCATAAGGCTACAAACAATATTAATATTGTCTGACATTAACTTTATATCGAGGTTCTGCAAAAGAACATCAAAACTTCACCAAGATTCCAACTGACAAAATTTTCGAAGAGTGACATCGTTAATACCCATAAACGTTTAGTTATCTCTTTACAGGATAAAAAACAAATAACATGAAAGTTCAAAATGTATTAGCTGCACAAAAAAACTTACAAATATAGATTGCTTCGTCGTCAGGCAATGCTCCGCTACTAAATTGTGTATTACACTTACTAGTACAATTAGCACAATTGGTAATTGATTTGCATACATATTTTCATGAATACAGTGCAATCATCTATTAAAAGTATGAAAGAAAATATGACTGGTAACTATTTAAAGTTTTGTTTTAAGAATTCCCCCAAATAATATCTTTTAAGGCAACTACAACGTCTTATGCTTAAAGCCAGAACATATTTCACATCGATTTTTGATTCCTCTTAAGTCATTGAATATCAAAAACAGATTATATTTTGAGTACACTTTTTTTTTCAAATTATCATACATTTTATATTATTATGTGGTTCCAGCAATAACTAGTATATCATAAATTAAAAAAATACAGTATCTGTCGTCATGTCAATGCCAAATATCTTCAATCTAGATTTGAACAAAAAATCGTTAAAAAAGGAAAAGGAGTAGGGCCACGAAGGGTTAAAAACGGCCCTGTCTCAGAAATTGAAAAAATTACTGCAGAAGGATCACTAACTAGTATAGTTCATAAAATGATAACCATTAGACTTGTAACTGTGTTTGTATAATTTTCCAGGGCGTCAGAAAAGACAAGGTACAATGACATTTTAGCCATTTGCGCGTAACGTTAAAATTGTTTTCAATAACGTTCTACTAACTTTATAATCATTTTACCACAAGAATTTTTTTACAAAATATTTCTTAAAACTCGTCCATATATATTGTTTTTTCAACTCTATTAACAAAAACTTACTAATATTAAGGTTTAAGCTGCACATAAGCGCTTCAGTTAAATTTTGTATAAGTGGCCCAAATACTCGTTTTCTGCATTGATATTCACAAAATAGAAGTTGCAGATACCATGTTAACAAACAAAATTCTGTAGCGTTGATTAAATTAAAAGTCATAAAGGATT